GTAAAAGTTGACTATCGCGTAAATATTTATAAGCCCCGGGTGATCTAATATTAAATAATAGACAAAGCATTAGCCAATTTTCACTATATCTCCGACTCTTGGTATTTTTAGTTTTGCTGGCTGCAAAACATTCTTTAATTAATGTTTTTTGTGACTCATTAATACCACTCATATTATTTAATTGTTCTTCAATCTTTTTGTCACAAAATGTTGCCATATTTTTTTTAACTTTACTTAGTTCTGAATTAAGTTCATTGATTTTTTCTTTAGCACGTACAACTTTCTTCTTAAGACATTTCTTTTCATTTTGTATTTTATTAAATAGTTTTCGTTTGGAAGGTGATAAGAGTAAGTGCTCTTGAGCACCAGCATTTTTTCTTATCTCACGCATTGTCAATACATTTACAAGTCGTCGACATCTGACACAACATGTTGCTTTTTCCTTCATAACAAGACAACAATTAATATGCTGTAACCTTCCAACAGAATTAGCAACACATGTTGTAGTAGTTACTCTTGAAAACCGATTTACTAGTGGTCCTCCATGACAAACATACATTTTTTCAAATTGTTTTAAATTATTAGCAAAATCTTCTAGATTTTTAGCTGGGATAATATTGAGTTGTTCTGCTTCAATTTTTTTACCCAGTACTCCAAAAGTAATATCACCATTGGTTGAGACAGTAACAGACTTCTCAATGATAGGTATTGTATCAGTGTGGCAGAAAGATACAAAACTATAAATTGAAACTGTACTATTCAACTTTTGTATAGTGGCATCAGTCCAAGAACAGTATAACTTTAATGTTCCCTCGGAAGCTGAACATTTTATTAAATTATATAAATTTGTATTAATGACAGGGTCGTCAATTCTGTTAATATTACCAATATCATCATCTTTACTTTTCTTATTATGTATTACATTTTGTCGCTCAGTTGGTGGTTTCCGTTTTTTAATGTTTTTGGTGAGGTATGCAGGTCCAGGGAAAATTGATGAAACAGCATTTTGTTGTAGTTTAGGAATCTTGTATGGAACCTAAAAATAAAACCAATAGTATGTTGTTCAAATAATTAGTTACTTAATTTAATTTTTATTAGGTAGGTACCTATTATTGTTTTTTCATTTATTTTTATTAATTGTAAAATTGATGATGTTAGTACATTTTGAATAATGTAGATATAAACCACGGTAACCGTGATATAAACAATTATTTTGCAATAACAAATACACCTAGAAATACACTTAGCCACAATACCTATTCATAGAGCAAATTTCAATATGTATTAAACTTGAAATATAGGTAGGTAGGTACCTAATTATTACCAACAATTAAAACAATATTATTTATTCAAATGGTTTTACCTAATTTCTTGTCTGAGATTGTTTTTCCTAATTGTATCAATAATAAATTACTGATTGCTATTTAAACTTCAGTATAAAATGAGAATGTTCACCTTTGTATAGGTATTATTAATATCATATAAAAGTTGTATTATAATTTAAATTGTATCCATTGATATAATTATCATATTTCTAATTGAATTAAGTAGGATACTTATACATGTAAGCATCAATGTCCTTCATAAAATAAAAACAACTGTACCTATTTTCTCCATTGACTTTTTTACTTGACAATGTATAATATGATTTATATAATTGAAAGCATAAAACTATTTTAGATAAGACCTACCTATACACTTAATTTACTGATTTAAACTAAAATATATCTACCTACTACCTATGCATATTCCTAAATATTAGAAATATAGTAAATTACTTACCTTGACAAGTAATGTTGATTCAGTACCTGATTCCCAATATCTAATAATTTCTTCTGGAGCAAAATGTTTTTCACACACATATGACCTGTCATTAACAGTATAATTTAATCTTGGTATAGCATTTGACCATTTTTTTCTTAACTCTGGATCACGAGGTGCAGCAAATCTTGACACCTTTTCTGGATTACTTTTATACCCCGACGTGCACCCAACTACACAGCACCGGCCCATGCCTTATAAGTTATAACTATTCAGTATTTTTTATTTAAAACAGTTAGTTTGTAACAATACCTACTTTTATATAGTTTTACACTATTAAATTTTGGATTACGTCTTTCACAGTTTCACAGAAAAATAGTAAATCGCGAACAAAACGTTTTTTAATTTTGGATATACGCACGCTAACGAACAATGTAAATACGGATTACTGAATATTGATGGTACCACGACTACTAGCGCTGTTAACTCGCAGTCACGCCACGGGGCCGTGGCTCGCAATGAATAAGCATACGCCGATTCCTAACCTGAGTAGATAACCGTGGTCCACACTAAAGCATGTGTGCTCATGGTGTGCGTTATACAGTGTGGACGGTATGTCGAGCACACACAAGCGTTTTCGACATACGGCGAACGCGA